CGGGGGCTTGCGTGGTCAGCCGGGGGCTTCCAGCAGCATTGATGCCCCCCCGGGCTTGTCAGCTGCCTCCCCCCGCCTTGAGTTGCAGTCCTTGCCCCAGGGAGGGTGCAGTCTAAGCAGTGTCCCAATGGGGTGAGCCCCAGGTGTTCAGACCTCATGTGTGTCCCTTCCAAAATCCCTTGATTGGAGTGACGGGGAAGAAATGATAAGAAATAGGAAACCTTGTGCTCCTCCTGTTTGCACTGGGGCTCTGCAGCCCCAAAGGGTCACGTTTCCAAGCCTTTCTGCACAAGCAGGGGGGCTAGGAAGTTAAAAAAGGAAGTGGAGAGCTTGACAGTCACGTGACTCCAGGAGCTGCGGCTTTAGGAGGAATGCCAAGCGCCAAGAAACTCTCGATCAAGCTCGCAGCAAGGCTGCGTCTCTCGCTCCCCCAGGCTCGTTCGGCAGCCCGTGGCTGTGTTAACCGGTGGGGAATTTCCCTTGTTTGCTCTGGGTGGAGGAGTCGGCAGGGAAGGTTTCTTTTTCTGTAAGTCATCAAGTTTGGGTCTGGAGCGGGTGATGTGTGCACGCAGGTTTGGAGTGTGAGACGCCTCGCACGCATCAGTGGTTCGTGGCATACATGAAATAAAACTAACACTGCCTTGTGGAGGAGGAAGTCCCCACGCTCCAAGTTAATTGGTGCCAGCCCTGTGTGTCCAGGAAAGACGTGTCTTCTCTTTCTGGAGTAGTCTTTAGTGCGGTTTAATTGCAGGGGGCAGCAAGAAAAGAAACATCAAAGTCCCTGAGGTCAAGTGCTGCATCTGTCATGAGAAGGATGAGATTTAGTCTGTGCTTCTGTGCGGGTGCAAGCGCATGCACACGTGTCTGTGTGCATTGCATGGCTGTTCGCTTGCATCTTGTGGGTCACGCAAATACTTCACTGTGATTCAAGCTTTTTTAGAGCGTCCAGCTTGTTAAAGGGGCCCTACTTCAGCCAAGCTCCGGTTAAGCTGACTAATATTCGAAGCTCCTGCACTCCACCCCTTTAAAGACGCTGGAGCTGCCAACGCAGCTGACATCCTCCTTCGCGGGCTCTTGTGCCCATCCTAGAGACGAGGCTGGACCCTGCGCATGTGTGGGGTGTATCTGTAGATTGTAGATGCGTGTTATGTTACTTATTGCATATACATTATAATGCGCACATGCACATATGTGGGTATGTATATATGCATGTAGAGGTAATACAAAGGCAGGTAATGGAAGGATAAAGCTACAGTGCTGTCTCTCTGTAGCAGCTTTCCATAAGGGATCCCAGAGAGTTTTCCAGACATTAGTCTGTCCAGGTTCACGACTGCCCTGTAACGTAAGCACAAGGATTTTGCATGATGCCTAATGAGTGCTGACAGGACCAAGGACACCCGACTCCCGCTCTGCTGCTTTAATGACTTGGCAACACCCCTGAGCAAGAGAGTGCTTTGGCAGTCGGAGGCCCGGTACCCTGCTCTCCCCCTCTCACTACAGGAGGCTTATCCCCTCGTTCCCTATTTTGGGCAGATACAAGAATACCCTTTTAATTCCTTGTCTCCCCTCCCCTTAACAGATGGTGCTAGCCATTGCTAAAGCATGTCTATATATAGATAAATGTCCTTTGTTTTCTGGCGGGCCGCATGCTGGGAGGTTTTTTGTTGTTGCCGTGTTTTTATTCATCCTAGACGGAGCCCCAGACCGTTGTTTCCTACTGACTCACGGCACCTTTTGACTGCCTCTTCCTGTCCTGCACATGAACACAATGCAGGCCTGGGAAGTGAACATGAGGGCAGGGCCTGGGTTTGGTGACTGCCTGTATGTCGCACCTCAGGGCTACGTCCAGACAGTCAAAAAGCCCGAGGCTGAATCGATTCAGTCTTTGCAGGTTAGTCTGAACTGCAGAGATTAAATTGAGAAACACCTGGACACATTCATTTTTGATTCAGGAAATGCAGTCACATGCCTGCAGTGGCTCAGGCTGGAAGCTGGGGGGCGCTAGAGCACGCTTCTCTGGCACCTAGCCAGCATAGGGTGTGTATTCACTTCCTCTTCCTGTTGCCCCTGAGGTCTCTGGGATATGTGGTCCAGAATCACAGTAGCAGGACCCTGCAGGGTTACTCATCACCACCTCTTCCTGCATCCGGGTGGCTCTGGGATTTGTAGTCCACAGTCGCTACTGGGGAAAGGGGGGTTAGCCAGGGAAAGGGGGTTTAACCCCCCTCCCTGGCCCCAGCCCCCAGCTAGGGTTTGCCTTGAGGGGTAGTCCCTGCCTCCCCTCCCCCACCACCCTTCTCTGCTAGAGCAGACAGCACAGCCCAGCCCAGGGCTGCAAAGCATGCTGGGATGCTGAGGGACTCTGATTTAACTTAAACCAGGAAGGGGTCTGGGACAGAAGTTTCATAAACCAGTTTGACCCAAATCAGTTAATTCTGATACTACATTCAACCAGGCTTATCTTAAACCAGTTTCAGCCATTTTGAAACCGGCTTATGTGCAGTGAACTTCTGTTCTGTTACAGGTTTATACCAGTTTCTGATTACTTCAGTTGGTTTATGTGCAACTTCTGTCCCTAGCGACCTGAAGAGGAGGAGGAGGAGGTCGTGGGACAGGAGCCGCGTGCTCCGCACGCTCCCGGGGCAGCGGGCTGGGATTTCCAGCTGGGCGTTCAGAACAGCTCCTTACCTTGTTGTGGCAGACTTCCCCTCGGATGCGCTCAGCTGGCTCATCTTTGCATAGATGCGCTACCCCGAGACCTTCTGCATGTTGTATGAGGGCTCTCTGAAACATGTAGTGCTTATAAAGAGACTGTTTGCTCTTTCAAGAGGCACTTCATTTTTCAAGGCACTGCCTCCCTGCTTTCTTGATGGTGCCACAGAACAAAAAGTTGCCGGCGGTTCTGTTCTGTCTACGCAAAGCCGCAGAATCAAGTTGATTTATCTGGCCGCCACCTTCCTATTTTTTCACAAGCATAAGAAAAAATGACATGCCCGCGTCTTAAGTAGGCAAATGAGGGAAGTCCTTGAGCTGCCCTGCGGCTGCAGACCTAGACACAGCAACGCAGGGGGAGTCCAGGGGTTGCTCTGTGATGATTCCTGTGTGCTAGTCTCAGAGGAGTGGCCCCTCTCCCCTTCATGCATGTCTGCCACTGCACTCCTATTAATGCTAACAGAATTACCCATGCGTGGGAAGGGGAGGAGAGACTCCTAAATCATAGTGCAACATCAACATGAATTTTCATCACCCAGCTCGGAGCAAAAATGCACTGTGGCTGGATGTAAACCAGAGGAGAAAGAGGGGTGAAGAGAGAAGTATCTCTGGGTGAGCAGTCTAGGCTGGTGGAATATGAACAGAAAGGGAATTAAAAGGCCTGAGGGTTCAACATGCCTAGCGGGAAGGGTCAGCAATGATATTTTCCCTTTTCTTTTTTGCAAGCTTCTCTGGAAACATCAGGTTTTCGCTCCTTTTGGCGTGCATGAAGGACCCGGTCTGGGGTGCAGGGCAAGGGGAGCAATGAAAGCAATAGGAAAGATAGGTCTTACCAAATATCCTTGAGGGAAACAGACCTAAAAGAAGCATGCGGGCTTCCTCATTTCCTTGCCGGTCTGGGTGAGAGCAGTACCTAGCACATACATAACACTAACTGAATGTCGACCTGCTCATCCTCCAACAGCCCTGTGAGGTATCAACCACAAGCAGTATTTCCATTTCACAGATAGAAATACTGAGGCAAAAGTTAAGCATCCCAAGACAGAGAAGAGTGTCTACTTTGCAAGATGTTTGGGGCCCGGGTGATGCCTAGAGCTAGGCGAGTCCTCAGTCTCGGGTGGCACTTGTGTCATACTTGTAATAGCTGAAACTGTTCCCAGGCTCGTGCTCGGGGCGGCTGGCCGCAATGGCTGTAACAAACACCACACGGCCTTTCTTCTAAGGTCGCTCGTGGAAGCCAGGAGCGATGGACTTGGCCCTGCAATGGGCTGTGCTGATGAAGGAGGGGTCGACTTTGCAAGTCGGCGGAAGTGGCGCTGGGGGAGAGAGCCGCGGCGATCTGTCAGGCGGGCTTTTCATTTCTCGTCACACCTTGGCTCTCTTCGGGCACGTTCTCGTGGTGAGTTGAGAGATGGATAGAAACGAGACCAAAATCGCTTCCCTGCCCATCTGTCTTACTGATCAGCTGACTGCAGGGGCCTGTGCGTGGACATCTGAGCTCTTTCAAGCCGAACAGCTGGGCCCCAGAGACCCTTTTAAACGCACGTCCATGACACACAGTAAGTACGGCCCTTAAATAGGTTATTCCTTGATCAAGCACCCAGGAGGCCTCTTAGCCTTCACACACGCTAAGCCTGGTATTAATTATAAGGGTGAGCGTGTTAAGGCCAGATCTCACAATATTTACCCAGGAACCCTAGTCCTAAAGCAGGTTTGGTATCATAACAGGGGCGTCGGGAGTCTGCTGTGCACCCAGCCCCGAGCTTTTGGGAGCAGCCCTCCAGCGCGACCTGCTTATGGGATTTGTGGCGTGGGAACGTAATGCAAACGAATGACCACGCTCTTCGGTCCGAGCGCAAACAGAGCAGGGACTGGTGACGCAAGGCCAGGGAAGGGAGACGTGTTGCTGGGTCACACGTTAAACACCTGGTAGGATATAGAAGTGCCCTACGCTGGGCCCGATGATCTGTAAGGTCCCTTCCAGCTGTGAACCTATTTGGGCAAGCCCGTTGGAAGACGCTCAGCCCCGAGCCTTTGCCAGTAGGGCCGAGCTTTCACGCAGCCTCTGCAGGAGGAATTGCTGCTCTGGGTTTCATAAGACTTGAATAGCGTGATGCAGGTTTGGTTCCTCCCTGACGAAGGTGGCGTAGAAGACGTCGCCGCCAACGCACCAGCTGCCTCCTTGAGAAGGGATGGGCCTTGCCCTCCAGCACCAGGTTTGGCATTTTCTCTGCTGTGTCCTTTCAGAAAGCTCTCCGCCGCCCGGGGCACTTAGTGCAATCAAAAGCAGGGGCCCTTTCCCCCCGCTGGTGCCCTTGGGCTGCCTTGCCGTAAAGGTGACACCGATCCTTCTCCGGAGGCAAAGGGCCAGCGTTTCTGGTTTATTTACTGCTCCTGCAACGAGACTAGGCAGTGGCAACTGGAGTTACTCAGCTGTGAAAAGCAGTTTCGTGTTTTAAAGCCTGTGCCCATTAACACCAGTGTGCATGGAAGCTGAACGGGATGGGGAAGCCAGTTATTTCTAGTTCCACCGCTGCGTTTAGGAGAAGGCCGGGAGAGAGATGAAGTGGCTGCTAGGAAGAGAGAGAAGTGGCTGCTAGGAATATATAGCTGCCACACCGTGCCACCGTGACGATAAATGTCTTCAGGGCCGTAAGGAGGAGAATGAGAGTAGACGCCGGACATACTTCATGGCCAATCTGCAGCTCTCCCTTCTGGGGTGCATTTAAACAGGGCGTGACGGTGGTGCCGAGCGATTTCAAAGACAGCTGTAGAGATGGCAGATGTGCGGAGGCTCGAGAAGCAGAACTTGGTGATTAAGTTAACGGGACTCCCCGCGAACCCACGGATCTCGGCCGCGCGCTGCCCGTTCGCTCTGTCTTCTTCTGAAGTAAAGCAAGAGCTGGTTTGTTGACTTTCTGTCGTCGGGCAGGAACCGAGCCGCCAGATTCTAGTTATTTCCAGCCACCAAACAGCTCCCCGAGGCATCGGCAGTGCTCCTAAAATGCATCCACACGTACAGATAAGCATGAGTAGTTGAAAAACAGATACCAGCACCTGCCCACGCCCCTCGCTGCAACGAAAGAGCCTTTGGGTGAGCTCCGGCACAGCGCGAGAGCAGAAACACGAGCAGCTGAGTTACCTAATGGTTGAATCTGGCGACCAGGCGCCAGGACTCCTGGGCCCCATTCCTACACCTCTCCTTTTCTTCCTGCCTGATCTTTGCCAAATCAATTCTTTATGCCTCCGTTTCACCGACCGTGTATCTGCCCATCTGTTGAGGACAGTGCGAGGGCTACGGGGAGAGATTCAGCTTGGAGATCGCATCTGTGCGTGTTTTCAGGACGCCTGCGCTGTCGTATTTTCAGGTTGTTTTCTTCGTGTGCTTTACAGCACTTTGCATGCGCTCACCTGTGCTTCTGCTTTCCCATAATCAGTTTGCCCGGAGGGGGACGAATGTGGGCGTAAAACCCCGGGCCCGGTTGGGAGCAAGGGACGGGTATCAGGACTCAAATGGCTTTGATCTTGTAGACTGGCTGGGTTGTCTTAGCCCTGTAGCGCTGCTCTGCATGCACGATTTCTTTCCCTGGCCTTTCCCAGCGCCCTGGTGCAAGGGGCTGTACAAATGCAGAGCAAAGACAGCAGTTTGGAGAGCGCTTTGTGAAGAAAGACACTGGAGAAAGTCAGGGTGGCTTGGTTGTTCGGGTGGCTCAGATAAAGTATTGCCCCGTCAGTTTTGCACACGGCGGATCTGATCCCGCATTTCTAACACCCCGAGCTCCATCTGACAGCACCGGAGTTGGAGATGTCCCAGGTGGACGAGATTGGCAACAAACCTGTGCTGATTCCCCTTGTGTGATCCCTGGCTTTGGGAGGCATCAAGCTCTTTATTTTTAATTTTTTTTTTAACTGTAAAATGCAAGCTTCTCCATGGCTTCTGCTGTCCGTGGGGTTAAAAAGTCCTGCGCCTGGAAGCTGGGAATAGCTGGGAATTGGAGCACGGCCCCTTTAACAGCCCATTGCATCGCGTTAGAATATAGTCTTTGTTTAACTAGTGCTGATTGTTCCCAGTGGACCGGACTGGAACGGTTTGCTGAGACCAGAGGGGTCTAAGGCTTGGGGCCAGCAGTCAGCTTACAGATCAGAGCTGTTCAGACCATACAAGGAGGAAAAAGAGAGGCGCAGCGTGATCTCTGCACTTCCTGCCATGGGTTTTGGAGTTTACATTAAATGCTGCTTCCTGGTTCTGGAAAGTGGGAGGAAAGATTGCGCGATGGTAAGTTCTTCCATCTTTCTAACGTGCTTGTGTCTTAGGAGGGGCTGTTTTGTTGTGGATCTCGAGGGGAAACTGCTCTTGCCTCCTTCCGTGCGTTGTCTTGCACCATCTTCTGTGCCCTTCAAATCCCTGCTTTTCATTACATCGTCATTTTGCAAAAATCAGGGCCTCTTGTCTTTAATTTTTCATTTAATGAAAAATTCCCTTAATTAAATTTAGGTTAACAAATCCCAGGACAGATTATCTCATGACAAAAAGCAATCTGATTTTATTATTATTATTACAGGGAAGTAATGAAATGTGTGAATTTTTATCATCCCCCCCCCGCTCCACCCCGTGTATATGTAACGCACGGGGTTAATGATTGAAGATGAAAGGAAATGTCAGATTTGCCACTTACGCTGAACTGATCCGATTAGTGTCCTATTCATGTTCTTTACTTCTGTGTTTTTAGGTCCTGGAAGGGTATTATTCGGGGCTAGACCATGCAATACGTGTAATTATATGCAAGTTCTTCCCGGCTCGTGTGTATTAGCCCGGTGGGGTGAGAGTATTTGATTTTTACACCTCGCAGCGGGAGTGGGAAGAACAACAAATAATAATAAAGTGGATATGAGAGAGAAGGGAACTAATACATTCCCAGGGGTACATCTGCAGGGTAATAACTAGCTTGACAGTGCTACTGAGCCCAGACCCAAGAGGAAGCAAGCTAAGCCTTAAAAACATCTGTGACTTACTAATATTTCTTCATTCAGAAATGTTTTTGCCTCTTCAACTTGTACCACAAACGAGGGCAACTCAAATTACTGCTAGTCCGGTCCGATGCTGTTGGATTTCTTCCTGGATTTGACTGAGTGGCTGTTCTCTCTCTTCTTTTTCTGGGCTGAGCTGTTTGCATTAAGTATTTCCAGACCAAGCCTAGGTGAAGGCGAAGGAAGCGATTTGGACAGATGTTGGCAGGCCGGGTTCTGGGAACAAGGTTTCCCAAGCTCTGAACGCAGTCAGCTTCCAGAACCTGGCCGTACACATCTGGCACAGCTGTCAGAAACCAGGCCACGTGGATGCCGAATCGGTGCACAGGGAATATCCTGTCCTAGGAATCTGAAACTGCACATGCTCAGCAATCGCGGGCTGTCGCCGTATTGAACCAGCTGCGTAAGTCACCTCCATCCCATCCCTGTCGGCACCTCACCCATCCAGGCAGCAGCCAGAAGCCTTAGGAAACGAGTAACGGGTAAAGTCACGGTGTTGTTTGCAGAGGTTTCAGGTTTAAAGTTGAACGTCCTGGCAAAGGGCAGCAGAGCTGCCGCAGATCAGAGAGCAGGAGAACGTGCTCTGTGCCCCGCTCGGTAGCAGTTTGCAGGATGGGAAGGAGAGGAGCAGTGCGACAAGCAAAGAATAATCGAAGTAATTATTGCAAGGGGATTTTCCGAGCATTGGGAATCGGACTCGGGTCCATCTACACGCGGAGCCTAGGGGACGGCGGGGATGTCACTGAAATGCCGACGGTCCAGCAGAAGCTGCAGATCACTGTGTGTCCCCCACCCCTGCACCTGCAGCCCTCCATCTCCCAAACCTCCTCCTCTTGACTTGTACCAGTGTGAGACCAACCCGCCTCTTTGCTGGTCCACGCCTGGCACAAGCCTCTTGCTTTTAATTTGAGGAGCGTGCCTGCTGCTGGCCACCTCCTCGTACAAGCACGGTCCCCGCTCCTGCTCCGGATCTGATTTCAGATGCTGAAATAAAGAAATGTCTCTCCACTCGCCACAGTACACCTCCAGCAGCAGCTGGGATTAAGCTGCCCTCAAAAGTCCAACCAGACAACCCGCGTGTGCTGTGCTCGGTCCCTGCACCGGGACCGAAATGCGCACTGCGCTGAAGATCGAAGGAGCCCCCCTGCATGAAGAAGGCCTTGCTGCTTCACTGCTAAAAGGCACAAATGAGTGTTTGTTGCTCCCGAGGAAGTGGAAGATGAAGGCTGAGCTGGAGGGCAATGAAGGCAGGGCAAGGGAGGGGGATTTGGACTCCGTTCTGCTTATGGTGGGTAAAAATGTTCCGTTCTTTTGATCTTCCTCAGTCCCGTCTTTGTGATCCGAGCTGTGCTTTTTCCTGGAAGGTTTCCCACGTTCCTGATGGAGCCAAGAAGCTGCCTCATTTTCCTCGTCTCGGCCGCATCCTTGAAATTAGGGAGCGTGCTGTGATGCCACGTTGCGTGCAGATGTAGGGCTGGCGATAGGTGTTTGCTGCCGCTAGAGACTGCTGGCCTTTCTTCATCGCCGGAGCGGGTACGGCGCAGGCCCCAGCAGTGCACGCTCTCCGTATGGCCCTGTCAGTGTGATCCAGTCCCGACCTAAAAGAAACCTCATTAGAGGGCACAAGAGAGTTCAGGACCCGTGGCTGGTTCATCCCCCTTGGATGCATGGAGTCAGATTTTTGAGACGATAATAGCACTTTTCCTTGGGAACTGGCACTAACAGCTAGTTTCACATGGGTTCCCACACAGCCCTGTAATGGTCCCACGGCTCAGTCATGACTTCCCCAGTCTGTATTGTTGCATTTACTGGCAGTCATTAACTCCGCGCAATGCAGTTTTCCTATTAATACGAGTGTTACCGGCTGGAAAGCAAAGCCAAGCTGTACATGTTCCTCCTGCCTGTTAGCTAGTGAGCGTGTCCCAGTTGAGCTCGACTGCGTTTGCAAAGACAAGACCCATCCTCCGGTAACGCCACCTTGCTGGGTGCGTGCGCAGGTGCCACGTGTAGACATTGTGGTAGCAGAACGGAGGGAGCTCACAGCGCGGACGTGGAGCGGCGTGGCCGCGGAGGCAGTGCTAGCAGCGGGCCGGCGGGGATGATGCGTCAGGGCTGACGCTCGTATATTCAGCACCATTACAGAAAGTCATTCCGGCTTGGGTGACCCAGCCCTCGCACACCTGCTGGAGACCAGGCTTGCCCACCATCATCTTAGCAATCAGAAATAAAAAGTGTAACGTGATTTTTGCCATGAAGCTGCAACGTGCACAAGCAGGGACCGGACGACTCCAGGAAACCCCCCGTTCGCCTTGCTGCGCCGACGTGGTTTACTGGGAAGGGCTCGTAGAGCCGTGCCGATAGCCTCAGAGAGCCCCGAAGTAGCTAATGATGTTGTTTGTTGAAGGACAGCAGAAAAAGTTGGCTGCACCCTGCTCCCACGGAGGTGCCTGAGAGCGTAAGAAAAAAGGGCTTCTTTCTCGAAAGGTGAACACGCAGCTCTCTTTCCTACAGGCAGTGAAAGCCTGGCACTAGATAAGTAGCTGTGAGATGATTCATAAAAAACTAATTTATAATTTGCCAGAATATAATCCTATTTGATCAGTGTTATTCAGTTCCTCTTTCTTTTAAAATTCAGTGCGCTTAACTGTTCTATGAGGGTTTATGAATGTTTAAAAATTGCTTTGTGGTCCCTAAAGTAATTTGACAAGTCTGACAGCTATTGATTAAAAACCTGAAATTATTCAGACTGCAGGATGACTTGGGGGATTAGATAGAAAGTTTTTTCAAATGTGAAAGGAAATAAGATGTTGGAAAGTAAATATGTTCTTGAATATTTTTGAAAAATCCATTACAACTGTGAAATCAAATTGAAACGAGATACTTGGTGCTGGGATGAAGGGACTAAATGCCGGCTTTGCCATGTGGGTGTCAGGGCCGATTCGTGGTGCTGGGACTCGGGCAGTGGTGCAAAGATGGGTTTATGTCATCTCTGTGTGGGGTTTTGGTGGGGCTGGTTCAAGGCCAGGCCGCAGGGGAGCATCCTCAGAGGTTGTCCTGACTTTCTCTCTGTACCGAACCGTTGTGGCAGCCAGCGGTAGCCACTACCAGGCTGTTGGACGTCTCCAGCTCGGCCCGTCTCTCCCCTGGCTCCGTGTCTGCGGAGCGTGTCGGAGAACCGGCCGTGTTGTCCGCACCTGCCGGGGACTCCCCGTGTGCTGGCCGTCTCCCAGGAGGGTCCGCAGCAGCTGTTGGGCCACTCGTCCGCGGGGCTGGCAGGAACGCCCTGGGTCGTTGAGTCCAGCCTCCTGTGAGCGCAGCTGACCGTGGCCTGTAATCCCGT